TGTGCATTTTAGCTTATATTACTACCTTGAAATACTTTTTCATTCAAATTCATCCTGCTGAGCTGTTATATTTCTACCATGTTGTTGTTTACTATCTCTCTTTCGGACGTTGTAAATTTTACAATTACTTTTTCACTTTGTGGTACTTTATTTTTGTACCCTTATTGCATGCTTTTAGTATTTCTTGTTTGTTTGTTCTTTGACTTTTTTTTTTAGCGAATCATATCGGTTCTTCTTATCCTGAGCATTTCATTGTACCTTTAACCTTGTGTTAACCTGCATATGACAAATAAACACAACTTGAACTTGAACTGGAATTTGTGCCCATAGTATTGAGCTAAACTTTTGTGTCCTGGTAACTGGGAGTCATCCTCAACAGATACTCTGAGCGTTTACAGTACAAGGAAGAGCTCACAATAGCATGAGATCAGGCATAACGCAATTTTCAAGGTTTGACCGAAACGGCTACAACTTTGTCCCTTCTCATCAAATAATGATTTTAGTTTAACATGTGTCGGTTTAACTAGTTTTAATTCAACACTCCATGTCTCTGTACTCCATGATTTCATCCAACAGTAACAATTTGTAAAGCATGATTAAAGATTGTTTGTTTTGTTAGCTTTTGGCTCACGCTCATCCTAAATTTTAGCTCTTACATAACCATGTCAATATTCACACTAATGCCCATTCTTTCATCCACAGTGGGAGTGAAGCTGCAGCTCTCAGTCAAGAAGCAGAGCCAGAGGTGAGAGCTGATGGGACGCTGGTTAAGAATAGCATACATGCTGGCTTGATTACTGAGGCCTTTAAGGGACATGTTCCCTCTGCTTTTAAAAAAGGGGGGTTGTCAGCCATTAATGGGCCGCTGATGTGAAAAGTGTTACCTGCTTATTGAAGAGGAAGGAGTCTGAAGGCAGGGGATAGCGGGGTATGTTATGTAACAACTCCACAAGTGACTCATCATTATCAGCATGAGAGAGATAAGCAGACACACTGAGGGACTCTCCATACCTCCCACTCCATCCATCCATCTCTCATTCCTCCTCCTCCTTCTCTTCTTTTCTCTCCTTCATGCCTTTTGCAACAAACAACTTGCGTCTTGTTTTTCTTTTCAGCTCGAAGCCAGTACTTCCTTACATTTGTTCTCCCTTCCAGACTTATCGCTCCCATTTCCTCTTTTTTTTGTTTTAATATCACAAATCTTGTGTTCCCTCCACCTTCTTCCTTTCATGATTTTTTTTTTCCAACATGTAAAACGTATTTTCACTTTCAAACATGTTTTAACTCCAGGTTAAAGCTGTGAAATTTGAGCTGAGTCATAAGAAACCCTCGTCTCTGAAGTCAAAACTATATTATTAAATCATCCACAAGCTTATAAACGTTCACTGAACTGAAGCTAAAAGTTCGACTATTAAACTGTACTCTGTTTTTATCGTTTCTCAGCTAAATGAGCTGCAATGTGTCCCTTTATTGATGTGTAATCGACCAAAACTTTTCAGCTGCTATAGGTCAATGACAGCTAAATTAATCATGTCAGTTTACAGGATAAAATCATTCAACCATGTTACGCATTCAGCATAATGTTGATTGTAAAAGCAATGATCCTGAAAAATTGAAATACAAAAGCTTCCAATTGCAAACACTGGCTTTGCTTAATTTACAAGGTTGCTTTCAAATGTTAAAGCAATAGCTCAGATCTTATGAAGTGGAGTTCTGTTGAAAGTTTATGAGCAAGCAATATCTTATCTGGTGTAGATAGCTCTTTGAACGACCTAAATTGGGAAAGAATGGTTGAATTCTGATCGGATCGACAAGGTAAGGACTAGTCCAGGCAGGGCAAAGACCGAAATGGATTACTGCCACCTTAAAACAACTTTTAGTCTCTCCCTCCCTCCATCCATCAACCCATTCAGGGTTGTGGGGAGTTGGGTGTATTTCTCCAGCAATCAGTGAGCAAAAGGCAGCTTACACCCTGGACAGGTCATCAGTCCATCACAGGGCTACACTGAAATGAAAGACAGACAACAATCCCAACTCTCACTCAAACCTGATGACAGTTGAGTGAAGCCATTTAACCTGACATGCATGATTTGGGGAGGAAACCCGAGTAACAAGAGAAAACCTTTACGTGCATGAAGAGAACATGCAAAACTCACACAGAAAACCTTTGTTTGGAGACAAACCTGCATTATTATTGCTGGCAGGCTAAAGTGCTGACCAACTGGACCACAGTCCAGACCACAGGATGAGTCCAATTTAACCAATTTTACAGGGATTCATGTGGACACTATTTTATAAAACTTTGGTACACCTGCATCAATTTCACACTACAGTTAATTACACAGCAGTGTTTCCCCTACCATTATACAGGCCTGTCAACAGAACCAAGTGCCCTGCCTACTGAACTGACTCCCCACCATCAACAACTGCCAGCACTGACGTAGCATTAAGCTAGTGGCGCAAAAGACATATGCGCTAGCTACAATGCTACAGAGATAGCGCTGTTCCACACTGAGCTGTTCCACACTGAGCTGTTCCACACTGAGCTGTTCCACACTGAGCTGTTCCATACTGAGATGTTCCACCGGCTCGAAAACTGACGGTACAAACAGCGCAGCGCACAACACAGACGTGTCTCTGTGTGTTTATCAGGTCTCTCTTGTAAATGAGTCCTTGAGGCTCAATGGGATTTACCTGTCTAAATAAAGGTTGATTGTGTGCCCCCACCCCCCTCGAGAAAAATCATAGAGATGAGCACACTGCCAAGGCAAGTAATGTAGGGGAAACACCGCATAGAATTCTATAATTATTTACGAGCACAAATAGTGGTCATAGCAGCTAGCTGTAGCACTTCCAGTATAGCCTGAGTCACTTTCTGCAGGAATATTGTATATCATATTGTATTGTATATCATGACCTGACTGAAAAATGTTGGATTTTATACCTGGATTATTGAGCATGGACTTTATTGTATATCATAATATCTCTACAAGAAATAACTGCTCACTGTAAAATTGCTAGCAGTTTAAAGACAGATAAAATAACATTTGCGAGAACAGCTATGAAATATGTTAAAATGGAGTTAAGACGGCAGTAATCCACTTTGGTCTATTATTGCATTTGTATGGCTCCAAGTAAATGTATCCCTCTATAAAATTCTGCCTTTGCAGCTATGGTAACTTTTCACCATTTTTATCCATTTTGTACCCACCCTGTCAATGATTTCAACCCACAGTTTTATTACTAATATTATCATTACTTTGGTGTGATTAGTTGTGATCACCCGGTACTTTTTTTGAATTAAGCATTATGGACTGACTTTTTTTCTTCTGAATAACCTTGGATATCAAGAAAAAAAAGAACGTTTAAATATGCAGTTCTATTTAAATCAGGCATTAAACTCTTTTTATATATATTTTATATATTTGATCAATTTATTATGTTTGCCTAAAAATAAACAGGCTAGGTTGTGCTTTTTCTGTATTTCATACAAGCAGCTTTTGCATTACTACACCTGCACTATTGAGCCTGTGGTAAGCATGTACAGATACGTGCATCCAGGGTCACAAAGGTCTTGAGTGCATGCAGGATCATATGCATGTGTGAATATGTGCTTATTGTAAATGTATGGGTGCAAAGTGGTTACGGTTTTGTAACCAAGTGGCACAAAATGTGAACTGCTGTGTACAAATTGGGACTACGGTTTTGCAGAGACAAATTGATGACAATGACAATAATTATTCATAACCTTTGAACAGAAATAACTTTTAAAAAGCTGAATAATTCAAGAAGTAATGTGTCTAAATGGTATAACAGGAAAAAAACAACACCTTTTTTCTCCCATGACATTGTGTCTCTAAGTCGCAGACGTACTTAAAATGAGCCTTTTAAACACAATTCTGTCATCTATGCGGCCTGAGGAGTTCGTCTTTTTTCTTCTTCTTGCTGTGCTGATTTTCATTTTGAGAACAAGACATTGCTTGAGCTAGAGGTATAAAAAGAGCACACACACCCTGTTAGACTGTAATTCATCTCAGAGGAAAATCCCTGGCTTTAGTACCAAAGCTCAGATGATTAACTACCTTTTCAAAGTTACGGTTCACTTCTATATCTAATGCTTTTCCACATCTGTGTTCTCTTAATAAGAGCCTCTTAATCAAATCACAGCCAACACAAGGGTGATCCCACATTCTCACTTTTTCCTCTTCCTTCGTTGCACTAATGAGGCCAACTTGATATCTTAGTGACTCATACCCAAAAGAAGTGCCAATAATGTGATTCTTGTTACAACAAATCACTGCCAAGACAACAAAGCCAAATGCACTTAGACTCAACGGATATAGGAAAAAAGATAAAAGAACAAGGCACTTAAGAAAGCAGCAGATGACTCACCTGTGACTGGTGTCTATGAGAGTCAGAGTGCCGACTACTTCGACGAGAGCTCACCCCAAAGGGGTAAGTGTAGGTCCGCGGGAGGCCAGAGGGCGTTGAGAGGCGTTGTGGATGACCCTGAGGTTTGTAGCTGTCGGAAGGCGTCTGAAAGCTGTTGCTGCGTTCGCCTGTGGGCTGTTTCCTCTGGCTGGAGTGAGGCAACGCATTGATGATGGGCGTCTTTGCCAGGACTTGAGGGACTCCGTAATGGGCAGCCCAATTTGACGCGTCAGTGGTCTTGTCTTTGGCCCCACTCCCTGTCTGATGGCAAAATTCTGCCGACTCACTCCTACTTCGACGCCTTCCTTTTAGCAGTTTGGCAGCAGCCGAGTTTGGCTGAAATCAACCCAAAAGGAAAAAAAAAAGAAAAGTGAAACGAACAAACGCAGAATGTCTTAAGCGTTTAAAAAAAAGCTCCTACCTTCTACAATTGACTGCCAACCTCTGCTCCTGCTGATCAGGAAAACGGCTGTCTAAACACACCCACTTATCACTACTCGGCTCACCCCTACAACTTGTTGGAAAGGCTGGCGAGGAAGGCAGGCAGGAGGATAAGTAGCAGCCAATAAGCCAAGAAGAGTTGACTGATGCTGAGAACGAAGCTGCACAGACGGGCAGGCAGACAGACAGGAATGGCAGGGTTAATGCTTCCACTCGGCACACTGATGTGCTGTTATGTCACCCAAGCAGAGAAAGCATTACTGTGTCTTTACGCCTGGCTGCATGACACGAGAAGAGACAAGCTCGGAGAGGAGAGGGGAGAAAGTGGGAGTAGAAAGAATAGAGGCTGCCACAGATTTTAAAAAGCATCGTCAAAGAAGACGAGAAGACAAAAGCAGGTGGAAGACAAGGAGAGGTCTAATGAGAGGAAGAAAAACTCTATAGAAAAACCCATACATTAGAGAAGCTGAATGTGGCACTGCAATGACCCCATTGTAAGAGCAAATTCAACTCTCCCCAGCATAGATGATGTTAATTCCTTGAGGCAGAAAGTCGAGAGGAAAACAAATGACAGCCAGCTAGCTAAGCAAGCCCAGCAAACCTGAGTAAGCCACATAGTCACACTAATGAGCAGCTGCAGACACAGCACAGCTTCACAGATGAGCTTTCTGCCTCAGCGCTTTCCAGCACAAGAGTGACCTTTACTGAATAATCAAAGATTAAAATTTAAAAAATCAAGCTAGTCCAGGCGGTGACGTCCAGCCACAACATTTCAATACATCTGGCAACGCTGTCTGACCCATGTGCAAAACATACAAGAAACGTACGTAACTCACCTCGATGAACTGTTTAGGACAAAGCCCAACGTTTTCCCCCAGCTTGGCTTCAATCCACTGCTCATCGACTCGTCTGATGGCAGTAAGGATGTCCCCCTGTAAAGCAGAAATAGGTAAGACCGTTAAAACGGGACATCAGATGGGTGTAACAAAGATGTCTCACTCTGGAGACTGAGCACTCAGACCAGAAACTCTCAAAGAGTTTCTGCTGGAACATGTGACATCAGATCCATTTGTGTCAGTGCTTTCTATGGCCAGTCTAAAAAAAAAAAAAAAACATTTGACCACCTGCATTAAAAAGAAAGGCAGCTGAAGTGTGCTTTAATGGAGAGCAGTCAAGAACTGAGGGGCTTTATATAACAGCCTCAGCGATCCTTTGAATAAACAACCAGTGCAGAAGAGGCTGATAACCTCTGCTCCTCAAGCCTCAGGTTTCTGTCCCTGAAACAGTCAAGTGAACAAAAAAGTAATGACCATTATGTAATATTTCATGCTCTGTACATAATTACAAACTTTAACAAAGTCAAAGAAGGATGGATAAGAGGTCAACCACAGAAACCCACAGAAGTCAGTTAATGAATATTGTCATAACCAGCATCTCTATCTACCCATTTTCTGATGCTTATATGTGGTCGGGTTGCAGAGTCAACCAGTTTAGAAGGGAAACCCAGACATCTTTCTCTCCAGCGACGCTCCAGTTTCTTCCGGGGATCCAAAGGTATTCCCAGTCCCAGAGGGGCTGCATAATCCCACCAGTGAGCTCTCAGTCTGCCTGGGGTCTCCTCAGAGTGGCTTATGCTTGGGAATCAATCAAAGGTAGGTAACCAGGAGACATTCTAGTCAGATACCCCAAACACCTCAGCTGATTTATTTTGATGCTGAGGAGCAGCATACTCAGGATACTCTGAGCTCCCCCTGGATTAAAAAGCTCCTCACCTTATCTCTAATACTGAATTTGGCCACCCTATGAAGGAATTGAAGTTCAGTAGCTTATATCTGGAATCTCGTTCTTTCAGTCACACAAAAACTGAACTCACTGTAGATGAAAGCTGGAAGAGCTTTGCCTCTTAGGCTCAACTCTTTCGTTACAAAAAAAAAGACCCATAAAGCCCCTTATTACTGCAGACAAGGACCCGATTTGCTGAACCATTTCTGTATGTTATGAAGCACTATTGTTGTTTTTTAACAATACAATTCAAAATTAATATCAGCAGTGACTGATTTTCACTAGTTTAGACACTCGTGCTTGTTACTGTAATAATGTGAGGAAGAAGCTATGTAAGCATCCGGGAAGCAGTTAGGGATTGGGCGTCTTGCTCATGGACGCCACGACACGCAGGCACGGCGGGGAGTTGAACCTATATGACTTTCTGGTCCCAGGTCAGCAGCCTTGCCTCTACCCCATCTCCGCCCCATTAACTGGGGTTGCTGCAAAGACCACCAGCCTGGAGCTTCTCTGTGTGCAGTCTAATTTAAGAAACCATGGCACAACAGAGTTCAGCCTGAGGTCTAGCTGTTTTAAACTACTACTTGCAAGATTGTTAGATGGGAAAATCAATGAACTCATTTGATTGCAACAAGTCTTTTGAAGGTTCAATAAAAGATGAGGGGATGAAGCTCTTTTTATCTGCGAAGCCATACTTGTGAAACAGATAAAGGACTGATGATGGTGATAGAGAAAAGTTGCACTCAACACTACACTGGTAAAGCATGGGGGTGGAATAATCATCCTCTGGGCATATGTTGAACTCAATAATACAAATTACATTTCAGTGTAAGGGGAAAAATAAAAAGACCAAAGATAAATAATTTTTGTTTGCCCTAAATACACAGTGTTAAACACATTATACCACAGGAGATGTAAGCTGAAGGTTTTTCCAGGATTTTAAATTAAAATTTCTCTATCTGGAACTGGATCTCATGCACAGTGCAGGTCTCTCGGTGGAAAAAATAATATTCCCCAAACATTAGGTGTATACAAAACATGTTGACAAGCTGTGATATTTGAAAAGACAAGCACACAAGGTTTTAATTCAGCACCATGTCCAAAACCTTGTGTTTTTGTTTTTCCTTGTAGAAAATTTATAAAAAGAAAAAATATATATTGTTAAAAAAGAAAAAGAAAAAAAGAAACAAGCTTTCTTTAAGATTTTTAGCTAAACATTTTCTACACTCAGGCACAGAAACAAATATTTTAGTCAGGACTGCCCAAACTTTTACAAGTTAGAATGTAAAAATGAATCAAATTGACTTCTAGACATTTTTATGTCTTTATGTCTATGTTTTTATTTTATTTTCAGCAGGTTTTAAAAATGGAATGAACAGCATATAAAAAATAATTTCAAAAGTTTTCCAACTACTAATATTATGATAGTTATGAACATTTTCTGTTAATAAAGAGGACATTGTATAATTAATATTGCCGTACTTGCAGCCGTATAAGTCGCATCAGTCCAATTATGTCTAATAAAGTGGAAAGAAAAACAAAAATACATTGCTTCGTCGCATACGTCGCATCTATTATGAGTCACCGCTGACACGTCGTGTTTGTTACGCGTCACCTCTGACCACCCGGAAACGTGGGCCGGTGTTGTGCCAAAAATCAATTGGCTGCCAAATGACGGCCGTGGGAGCGTGCACAGGAGGACTTTAACAAGAATTAAACAAGATAAACACTTAAAAACAATTATTTTTTGCTGGAAATTATAGCAAAGGTGTGTCTCAGTTTAACTTTTCCTTAATAAATGCACTTTAATGATCAAATCAGCTGCATTTTACCTGGGCGGCACAGCGAAATGCAGCTGATTTGATGTTTGCTCCAGTTCAGATTCAGATATTCTTTATTGTCATTCGACCACATGTGGTACATGTGGTCGAATGAAATTATGTACAAAATTATTATTATTATTATTCCAGCGCAAGAAGAAAATGGCTCAGTATGGCAGGCTTGCCATATAAGTTAAGAGCCCTCTAGTGGCTGAAAATGGTAGTGTTCAGTATTTTCCATGTCAGAATGGATTAAATAAGATCTCAGCCAAAATTTGGGTTATAAATACAGGAAAAAAACATAAATAAGTCGCTTTACTGTATAAGTCACAGGGAATGCTAATTTATACAAAAAACTGTGACTTATACAGCGAAAATTGTGGTATTTAATGATGGTGGTTGTTGACTTAGAAGAGACCATTTGCACATCAACAACTTGAGCCAATAAACACAAAGTTTTCCTGCTGAGTAAAGTATGAGCAGATTTACAGACCTTCATGAAACTGAGACAATATTGGCTGCCTTCCAGATTCATCTCTTCTGGGTTAAAGTCGCACGTCGCCCTGCAGAGAGGCAGCGGTTGGGCCTGCTGGAAGGACTGCTGCATCTGGGGCGCACTAACAGATGCTCTGCCAACATCACCGGGGTCTTCATAGTACCAGTTGTCCATTTGGTAGTTCGAGGTGACAGTATTAGCAGGTGTGAAGATCGGCTCTCCTGACATATCAGGTCGTTGGTTTGCTCTGGGAGCAGCCTGAGGAGAAGGAAGGAGTCAAAAATAAACATACCATATTAGAGTAAATGACACCTTGCATTTTCAGTCTATGCTTTCCAGGGAAAATTATAAGAATAAGTCTGTGACCAGCTACGTTTCGGTAAAACAAGAAGAAAATTCAATAAGCCCTCTGGTTATGGGTATTTCATAGCCAGTGTGTGAGATTTACATCAAATAAAAGCTGTAGTCAAGTTTCCAAACACACGGCTGATCCAGCAGATTCTTATCTATATATTCTGAATTTATAAGAAGCTTTATAAGAAACCCAACAATGTTCAGTCACTGTCCAGATGACCTGATTGAACATTGTTGGGGTTTTGTACCTGGATTATTGAGCATGAACCTTACAAGAAAGTTAATCAGTTACAGACTCAAGTTTCTGAATAAGTAAATTTTTTTCAGAAACAGAAGAACTGTATACACAAAGATAATGATAGGGAAAACAAATGAGCAATTTGACTGATAAAAGCAGACGCATTTCTTAACTACAAGTAATTTTAACTAATGACTACAACCAGAACACTGAATGCATTTAGACTTAATTTAATTATACCCTCTGTTCAGTGTCCTTGAGTGCCTGAAAGGTGACTGCAAATATAATCTATTATATTATTATTATTATTATTACTATTACAATATAACAGTCTCACATTAAGCCTCAGTGTTTTTAACAGTTATCTGTAAAACGATGAGAAACTTTAACTTTCTCTACTTAGTGGAGCGTTTTGAACTCCGACTGAACTCAGGGTGGAGGATTTAGAGTAAACTTTTGAACTTTCACAACTTTTATTTATTTTTACTCTGAGCAGATTAGAGACAAAATGGTTTTAACTCTTATAACAATGAAGAGATAAAAAAAGAGTCATGACCTTATCTCTACCTCTGCAATTCTCTAAAGTCTTTTTATGAGTCTGGTTTATACTGAAATGAAATTTCGTTGTGCTGCTGTGCAATGACAATAAAGGCTGATTCTGATGTGACAATGTGAGACGGGTTTAATACACGTCACAAGTTTTAAGAATACCAACATTTCTCTCAGTTGGGCCTTGGTTGATGATCATCAGAACAAGAAGGTTGTTAGAACCCTTGTTATCATCTACAGAACAAAGCTGCTGAAGCTTTTAGACCATGTTCAGTGCGTCACAGTTTATAATAAGTAAACTAACATGAGCTAAGAGCAGACAGGGTGCAGGAGAACCCTCATGCCCTGAAGAGACACACGCAGCTAGATATGTCATGGACTCCTGGGGTGTTTGGAAGATGATGCGCCTGTCTGTGCTGTCTGCTGAGGATGGAGAAGACGCAAACATAATTGGATTTATGATAACAGGGTTTCTGCTCTTTGGAATTGGCAGATACCTGGGTTATCGGTTAATAAGGAAGACGTCGGCAGCAGATTTGGCAACAGTAAAGCTGCCAGCCTTATATGAAGGATTACTCCATGCTTCAAGCTTCAATTTGCTTTGCGAGCCGAACTGTAAGTTGGACACAATTTCTGAGAATCATAGGCCATTTGCAGCTCCTAGGACTCGCCGGCATCAAGGATTTGACCTTGGAGAAGGCTAACAAGCACGGACCGGTGGAATGTCCACGGATCTGGCTGTTTGGATTCGCCATTGAGTGTACCAGCAGAACTGAAGGCAGACATGTCAGTAAAGTCTGTCTGCCCAAAACAATTGTTGTTTATCTGAATTTGACCTCCCCGCTGGCTTTGGACAGGCCAGCTTATCTCAAATTGATCCTGGAGGATACATAAACTAAGAAGCTCTGTCTGGCCCACCCCCACCCTGAGGACATCTGTGGCCTTATCAGATTGTGCCGCTGATAGACACTGTACCATCACATTCAGAACTTTGGATCTTTCTGCAGTGTCCATGGACATCTCATGGCCTTTGTTGAAACTTCTATGCATAAATGTATTATGATGTCATTGTATGTTGATGTTTATGCTGTGAGGTCCTTTTTTTTAAATCTTTTACACTGTGCCCAGGCCAGGACATGGTGTGAGACATGATTTTTTTTACTTCCTCCACCCCATGTTCTCTTTTCCTCATCTACTTTGTATGTTGTATGTAACAGGTCTCTCTTGTAATCGAGTCCCTGAGGCTCAATGAGTCAGAGTCAGAGTCAGAGTTTCTTTATTGTCATTCGCACCTCATGTGGTACATGTGGTGGAGCGAAATTATGTACACAGGGTCCCAGTTACATCCAACAATAAAATGTATAAGAAAAACAGTAATAACATCTAAGATATGAACTAAGAAAAACATCAACTAAATATACACTAAGCACTCATAACATAAAACATTGAACATCAGCACAAACATGAACATGAGTCTGTGAGCAGATGTGCACGCATGAACACATCAACATTGAAACAGATCAGCAGCAACATGAAACAGATCAGCAGCAACATGATATGGTTTTTCACAGTGATTATTCTAGTTAGAGATTCATGAGTCTAACAGCCTCAGGGTAGAAGCTGTTCCTCAGTCTAGTGGTTCTAAACTTAATGCTCCTCAACCTCCTTCCTGAGGGGAGTGGGGCAAAAAGTGTGTGTGCTGGGTGAGTGGGGTCCTTCATGATGCAGGTGGCCCTCTTCCTGCATCTGGAGGTGTAGATGTCTGTGATGGTGGGGAGGCTGATTCCGACAGATTTCTGTGCAGCCTTCACCACTCTCTGCAAAGCTTTTCTTTCTGCAGCTGTGCAGCCTCCATGCCACACATTGATGCTCGAGCACAGGATGCTCTCCACTGCACACCTGTAGAAGGAGGTGAGGACTGAGCTTCCCAGACCAGCTCGCCTCAGCCGTCTGAGGAAGTAGAGTCTCTGATGAGCTTTCTTGATCAGGCTGGTGGTGTTGTTGCTCCAGCTGAGGTTGTCATTCATGTGTACACCCAAGTACTTGTAGCTGGAGACCACTTCCACCGCAGATCCTCTTATGTTCAGGGGGGTGTAGGTGTTTTTGTTCCTTCTGAAGTCCACAATCATCTCCTTTGTCTTCTTCACATTGATGTGAAGGTTATTCTCTCTGCACCAGCTCTCCAGGTGTTCCACCTCTTGCCTGTAGCTGGACTCATCATTGTTTGTGATGCATCCCACCACCGCTGTATCATCTGCAAACTTTACAATGTGACAGCCTGGATGGGTAGCTGCACAATCATA